AACAACACAAATTTACCATCTCAGTTTCTAGAAGTCAGAAGACCAAGCACAGTATGACAGCTCCTCTATTTACAGTCTCACTCAGCTGAAATCTGGATATCAGCTGGGACTACAGTTATCATCCAAGCTCCACTGATTGTTGGCAGAATTCATTTCCTTATGGTTGTACGATGGAGGCCTCTATTTTCCTTGTAGCTGTCAGCCCCTGTAGGCTACCCATAGTTCCTTGCCAAGAGGTCCCTACAGGCAGTTCACACCATGAATTGTTTGCTTTCTTCTAGGGCAGCCAGAGCAGATCTCTGTCTTCCTCTTCTGAGATCAGCTGGAGAGAAAACTTCTTTTAATGGACACACGATTAGGGTCAGTCCCACTAGGACAATATGAATGATCTCCTTGTTTTATTATCAGCTAATTGGAGCCTTGGTAGCGTAGTGGTTACGAATCAGGCTGCAAACCTTAAGATCAGCAGTTTGAAACTACCAGTTGTTCTGCGGGAGAAAGATGAGGCTTTCTGCTCCCGTAAAGATTTACAGCCTTGGAAACCCTCTATGGGGTCACTATGGGTCGGAATTGACTTGACAGCACTTAACAACAGCAATAATCGGAGCCTTACATCTGCAAAATCCCTTTACAACTTCACCTGGTTCAGTATTTGGGAGATGATGTATGTTGCATATATACCTGGGACCAGGAATCCTTCAGACTTTTTAGAATTCTGTATACTTGTAATAGCCAAACATGCAAGTACCTAAAGACTCTGGTGTGTGCAATGGCCTTTCTTGCTTTGGTCTTATTTGTTGTTAAGGGTCATCAAGTCGGTTCTGACCCTTAGTGACCCTGTATAGGGTTTCCAAGGAGCTGCTGGTGAACTTGAACTGCCAACCTTGTGGTTCAAACCAACTTTGCAGTCTAGCACATTATCCCATAACTCCCGCCAAGTGATTGGGTTGTTGTTAAGTGCCATAGAGTTGGCTCCTACTCAGCAGTTCTGTATAGGCTTTCTGAGGCCTTTAGACGGGGAATCCCTACAACGAAAGCCTCCTAGACTCAGGAGACAGAGCTGTTAACACTGAAGATGGTGAGAAGCAGTGACAGAAAGGTGGGAGCAGAACCAGAAGACTGGGTCAAGCCTGTCCATAGAACAAGAAACCTGGGCACTTTCAGGCAGGAGACTTGCTGGCAGAATAGAGCGCCTCCAGTCACTTAGCAGCATTACGAAGCTTACTGAGCCACAGAGCCTCAGACGGCTAGAGGGCTAAACCCCTTTGGACAGGAGACTTGATGGTTGGATTGGAGTGCCACTGGGTACATGTCAGTGTTGCTAAAGAACTTTGTAACCGGAGCTGGGCAGAGACCAGCGGGACCAGGGATTGAACTGCTGAGATCTAGGGAGAGGCCTGCCTGTGGGCACTGCCGAGCAGCTGTCCTGATCACCCTGACTGAGGACTGTAACCTGAGTCAGCCCTGACCCTGAATTGTAACCCGTTACTTCCCTAACAAACCTCATCGTGAGAGTACTGCCTGTGAGTTCTGGGTAGCCACAGCACCAAATTATTCAACCCAGCAAAGAAGTAGTGCCATGGGAAGGATGGCTGGTATCAGCTTTGGTAAATAGGTTGGCAAGTAGAGTTGTGTCTGACCTCGCTTCATAGGAATCAGCCTTGGGCTGATGTTCATGGTAATTCTATTTCCCCTTCATGAAGTTATTAGTCTTTTTACAAGGACTTAGTGGTGAATGGTGGAGTCCTGAATGTAGCACTGTAGGATAGGCACTGGACTGCAAAGTCGATTTGAACCACAAGGTCAGCAGTTCAAATCCACCAGCTCCTCCTTGGAAATTCTATTCAGGTTCGCTGTGAGTCAACCAGTTTGACAGCAGTTAATAACAGTGGTGAATGATAATCAGCTTCATTAACTTTTGATTTTTTTCTGCTTAATTGTAGGTTTCTTACTGGTGACCCAAATGTTAACTCAGTTCTTTATCGCATACTTCTTTTTTCATTGTAAAGTGGAACCAGATAGTATATGGTCATGTGATCTTTTGGCCACCACATGACTGGGCCATGTGTTTAGATACAAAAATTCAAAAACAACCGACTCTTGAGCATCCAAGATATGATAGAAATACGGTTGTATGTGCCAATCCACACAGTCCTGTGTTCTCTGATTTAAGACTGGAATTACAAAATCTTGTTCAGCTTTGAGATTATTTAAGTAATTGCTCTCCCTGCTTTTCTTATAATTTAACATGATCTCAGTTGTTACTAAATTCTGTCAAGTCAGTATGAATTCATACCTACTGTCTAGGAGTTCCAAGGGAGTCGAAAGCTTCATCTTTAACCCTGGAGCCAGATGGTGAACTCGAACCATGGACCTAGTGGTTCGCAGTCCAATGCTTATCATATGTCGTGAAAAGTTTAAATTGATATTGTTGTTGTTAAGTGCCGTCAAGTTGGTTCCGACCCATAGTATTCCTGTAGAGGGTTTCCAAGGAGCAGCTGGTGGGTTTTAAACTATGGACCTTGTGGTTCCCAGTCCAGTGCTGATCCTACTGCGCACCACATCAGGAATCCTAAACTGATAATACAGTCTTATAAAATGTATCATTTCTTTTGGTCTAATTTTGTCATTTTATATTTACTGGATTTCTTTGAAAAAGTAATATATTGTTAAGCTCAAATTAAGAGTATCCAATAAGGATTCCGTCCTACCCTGTCACCCAACCCATTTTATGACCACATGTTGTTGTTGTTAAGGGACTTCGAGTTGGTTCCCACCCATAGCAACTCTCTTTAGGTTTTCTGAAGAGCAGCTGGTAAGCTTGAACTGCTGACCCTGAAATTCAAATGACTTTGCAGTCTGACACATTAATGCACAGCACCACACCAGGATTCCACTGTGACCACATTTGTTGTTGTTGTGAAGAAGTGCTGTCAAGCCGGTTCCAACCCATAGCGACCCTGTATAGGGTTTCCTAGGAGCAGCTGATGAGCTTGAACTGCCGACCTTGCAGTTCAAATGGCTTTGCAGTCTGGCGCATTAACCCACAGCGCCACAGTCCCCCATTAATGTAGCTGTACCAGCCGTAGGCTACTACAAACAATTCTTGAGTAAAAGGTCATTTTGTACCTCTTCAGGTCTTTCGACAGTTTAAGTAATTCTGGAAGTGGAATTTTTGCAGGGGCAAAAGGATATATGCACTTTGTAATTTTGATAGCTGTTACAAGCTACCCTTCCTGGAGATTGGACCGTTTTATACTCTTCCAGCTAAGTGAGGGTCCTTTTCTGTTCTCTCACTAGCACTATTATTATAGGAAGGTTTTCATAGAAATGCAATGTCTTTTTGCACTCTGACGTCACCCATACATAAAACTCTTAGATAATTTTGCTCCTGTGACTTGTACACCTGACATAAACCGTTTTGAGGATAAATACAATAGACTAGTTAAGCCTAGAATTCAGCTGGTGGGAGAAGTGAAGTGACCTCAAGCTACATGTACTCCATTTGTCGTTAAGTTTAAAAAGCAAGACAGTTAAGTGGAGCCCAGTAAAGAGCTTCTGTGGCATTCTGTTGTGAAGTGTCCTGGTGTTGATTCAGACTCTTAGCTACCCATATAGGGTTTCTAAACAGTGGCCAGTGGGTTTGAACCACCGACCTTGAGGTTAGCAGCCTTGCGAGTGCTTTTATCCTGTAGCACCGTACCACAGCATTAGTGGCCTGAAAGTCAAATTCATACATGGCATATAGTACACAACACAGAATACATGTGTGCATCATTTCAAGGACGAGGTTATAGAGGGAGGTTCTCGGGTGGTGTGGTTTACACTCAACAGCTAACCTAATACTTACAACAAAAACTAACCTAAAGGTGATGGTTCTACCCCCAGTGACACCACAGAAGAAAAAGGCCTAGCGGTCTGCACCAAAAGATCGTTACTAATAGGTGCTGTCAAGTCGGTTCTGACTCCTAGCAACCCTATATGGGGCTTCAGAACCTATAAATCTTTACAGGAGCAGAAAGCCTCATCTTTCCCCCGGAGCAGTTGGTGGGTGTGAACTGCTGACATTGTGATTAGCAAGCCAGTGCTTATCCTATAGCACCAGCAGCAGTAAAGATTGTTGTTATGAAATACCATGGAGTTGATTCCAACTTCCAGTAACCCTCTATAAGGTTTCCGAGGAGCGAGCAGCTGGTGGGGTGAATTTAGCTGCCAACCTTGTGGTTACAATGTAGTGCAGATCCTACTGCGCCACACCAGGACTCCAGCCTTAAGATTACCACCCCAAAGCCCCTGTGGAGCAGGTCTCTTTTAATGCCATGGGGTTCCCATGAGTCAGAATCAACTTGATAGTAATGAGTTTGTTTGTTTTTAATGAAATATCTTAAGGAAGATAAGACTGACTTCTGAGTTAAGACCTTGCAGTAGAGATATTGCTTCTTCTCGAATGAAAGACCACTGGAGAAATGTGCCTCAGAACCTCCTAGCATGAGTGGAACTAGCAGTTTTATCATCATCTGGTGATGTGTTTTGTGGAAAAGAATAATCTCGCTATTGTTCTGTGTCTGAATTGGTTTCGACTTGCAGTGACCCTCTGTGGCAGAGTGAAGCTGCCTCACTGGGTTTGCCATGTTGCAGTCTTCCCTGGAGCAGCGCACTTTGCTCCCATGGAGTGGCTTCAACTACCAGCCTGTCATTTAGTGAGTGTCACCTAACCTTTGTGTCATCAGACCTCCTTAAAAAGTAACTACCTAGATTTCAGGGTCATGATGTGCTGTGGGTAAATGCTCTCAACTACAAAGTCGGTTTGAACTACAAGGTTGGCGGTTCAGGCTCACCAGTGATCCTCGGGAATCCTATACAGGGTCGCTATGAATCAGAACTGACTTGACAGCACGTAACAACTTTCAAGATTTCATTTGAAAGTGGCTTTTTGTGATTTATCCTTGTTAAATAACAGTAAGTTAATGTTGAATCTTAATTTTTTTTTCTCCCAACAGGTTGTAAAATAAAAGCACTGAGGGCCAAGACAAACACATATATCAAGACACCTGTTCGTGGTGAAGAGCCCATTTTTGTTGTCACAGGACGGAAGGAAGACGTTGCCATGGCCAAAAGGGAGATCCTCTCCGCGGCTGAGCACTTCTCCATGATTCGTGCTTCTAGAAACAAAAACGGCCCCGCCCTTGGAGGGTTGTCCTGTAGTCCTAATCTGCCCGGTCAGACCACGGTTCAAGTCAGGGTCCCCTATCGTGTGGTAGGACTAGTGGTTGGACCCAAAGGAGCAACTATTAAAAGAATTCAGCAGCAGACCCACACGTACATAGTAACTCCAAGTAGAGATAAGGAGCCTGTCTTTGAAGTGACAGGGATGCCCGAAAACGTTGATCGAGCACGGGAAGAGATAGAAATGCATATTGCCATGCGCACAGGGAACTATATCGAACTCAATGAAGAGAACGACTTTCATTACAACGGTACTGATGTAAGCTTTGAGGGTGGCACCCTTAGTTCTGCATGGCTCTCTTCCAATCCAGTTCCTCCTAGCCGTGCAAGAATGATATCCAATTATCGAAATGATAGCTCCAGTTCTCTAGGAAGTGGTTCGACAGATTCCTACTTTGGAAGCAATAGGCTCGCTGACTTTAGTCCAACCAGCCCATTTAGCACAGGGAACTTTTGGTTTGGCGATGCACTACCATCTGTGGGCTCAGAAGATCTTGCAGTTGATTCTCCAGCCTTTGACTCTTTACCAACATCCGCTCAAACTATCTGGACTCCGTTTGAACCAGTTAACCCACTCTCTAGCTTTGGGAGTGATCCTTCTGGTAACATGAAGACTCAGCGTAGAGGAAGTCAGCCATCTACTCCTCGTCTGTCTCCTACATTTCCTGAGAGCATAGAACACCCACTTGCTCGGAGGGTTAGGAGCGACCCACCTAGTACAGGCAACCATGTTGGCCTTCCAATATACATCCCTGCTTTTTCTAATGGTACCAATAGTTACTCCTCTTCCAATGGTGGGTCCACCTCTAGCTCACCTCCAGAATCAAGAAGAAAGCACGATTGTGTGATTTGCTTTGAGAATGAAGTTATTGCTGCCCTAGTTCCATGTGGCCACAACCTCTTCTGCATGGAATGTGCCAACAAGATCTGTGAAAAGAGAACGCCATCATGTCCAGTTTGCCAGACAGCTGTTACTCAGGCAATCCAAATTCACTCTTAACTATATATATATACATAAATACTATATCTCTATATGGACTCGTAAAGGCATGGGTATAATGGTACCCCCCAGTAAACTTCCTAATGAATTCTTATGACTGTTATCAGGCTTTATTGGGATTAGGCTAAAGTTGTTAGTAAACTTATAAAAGGCTGCTATGGTAACACTAAACCTAAGTGGTCTCTTGTCTATTAGTTTGGTTTGAATTATTAATACTATCCTGTAGACCCAGAGACATAGCTTGTATAAGAATTGTGAAAGCTGAAGTTCAACTCGGCTGAGTGAAGATAATCATAGGTTGTATGGGCCTATGAGAAGTGTGTACTTGTAAGATTTCAAAATGATGGGTCCCAAAGCCTCGCCACATTACAGGTTTGTGGAGGGTACTCGGCATTACCGATGATCCAGACACTTCCAGTGTTGCCTTCTTTACACTGCCAGTTTTGACAAAACAGGTTTGTTTGTTTTTTTATTTTACAACAATTTATGCCTAATCCTGCAGGATTGCAAGTAACTTTTTAATGCATTGTGATTACTTAAGTGGTAAGATATAGGGCCGAAGGCAGTTAACTAGATCACTGGTTATTATTTGGGACAAAAACTGCTACATTGACCTTCATCTCGTCCAGAGTGCTCAAGGATAGTGTGATCAGTAAATCAGGAATGCAGTTGTCTCAATTGTGAATTCCTACCCATTGCCACCCTTGGGGAATGTGGAAATGGCCACCTGGGTTTCCCCATTTCAGGAGAGGCTTTGGAATGCACCTATTGGCTAATAGCTGAGGATGCAAACATTCCATTCATTAGTCTGATCAAGCTATTAATTTTTAGACTAGATCAAAATGTGAAACATTTTCTGTTCAGTCCATATTTGTCTTGCACATTATAAATATATTTTTGTTTTTTAATAATTTAGGGTTTTGGGGGGAGGGAGTTAGAGATAGCAGTGCCCTGAGCATCACTCACTGAAGCAGCTGTGACCGCCTCCAGTCAGGTGACTTCATTTCAAACTGTGTCCCATCAAAGGAAATATTTCTCTCAAATACACTTTTACATTTCACCTGTGGATGTCTCTAAGTTCATCCTCAGTATGTTCCCAAATCTTTGCTGGCATTGAAAGGACAAAACATCATACTGCTGGTGGGTTTTTCTACTAATTATTTTTTTGAAGCGTTATTTTCCCAACACAAAAGAGCTTTTTTTCTCAGTATAATGAAAAATTGAAATCCTATGTGTATTGAATAGTAAATAGACAAATTTTATTTTTTATTTCCACTTGAAGAGTTACATTTCGTATAAAAGTTTACAAATAACGGTTTTTATTTTGATTTTTTTCAGTATAAAAAAAGTTGCCTTGATGGCATATTATGATGTGTAATGCTAATTGCTTGTAGGCTAGTTAAATGTCAGTATTGAAACCTAATCCTTAGCTGCCGTCTTGTAGATAGGAACGAATGTTCACCAAGCATGTGTTTGTATTTTATTGCATCGTACACTGCAACTAACAAGCCAAGGAATCGACATGTATTAGGTGCGTGTACTGTTTCTAACAACACAAACTTAAGAACGATAAATTATCAATATAGTTTAGTATTTGCTAATTTTACTACACTCTTTTGTTATGTATATGTAGGGAAGTCATAGGGATTATAAATTCAATTTGAGTAAAGTTTAAAAACCATATATTTTATGATAAAGGGCCTTTAACTTAAGATGGCCAAAGCACTGATATTATATATTTGCTGTAAAGAGAATTATAAGAGTTTTATTTTTCTGATATTAAAAGTTACTTAATAAAGACTTGTTTCCATTAACTTGAATGTACTCTCCTTGGTGTTTTTCATCTAATCGTAATATTTTAGGTGGGAAGATGGCTGCTTACCAGAATTGAAAATTTCCTTCACAAATTCTCCCCATGCCTCAGACGCAACTACCTGTTTGCTTGTGATTTTTTTTTTCCTCTTTTTTAATATACATTAAAGGGTACATTTTTCATGCTCCAGCTCAAATTTAGTTTTTTCTTTAAATGAGCATTGTTGTTAAGTGTCATTGAGTCAGTTCTGACTCATAGTGACCCTGTAAAAAGAAATTCTGAGGAGCAGCTGGCAAGTTTGAACAGCCAACCTTGTGGTTCAAACCGACCTTGTGGTCCAGTGCTTATCTTGCAATATAGATTTAGGTTAGTTTTTTAGATTATTTATTTACATGTTTGTCTATACATTGCTGACTACAGGTGACCTCATATAATTATGAATAAAATATTGAAAAACTTTTTAATATAGCAATACTAACTAAAATTCTGAAGACGGATTAGTTGTACTCTACTTGATTTGTACTTTTTGCATATATATTTTTTGTCTTATCACCAAACCTGTAAAACTACTTTTTGTCTTATCACCAAACCTGCAAGTTTTTAGCTTTCAGTTACTAAGTATACAGTGAAAGATTTTGTGATTGACCAAAATATTACTCCATTGATTAAATTGATTGGATGCTAATTGGAGTGACTTGTTACCATTTTATGAAAATGCAAAAATGAAGACATTTCTAAGGTTGAAAGAAACAAAAATTTTACTTTTTTTTTGAGCCTTTTGCCATGCTTTAGGTAAAAGTTTACAAAGCAAAAAAAAAAAAAGTTTCCCTGATTTTCCATTCAGTAGTTCATACATGGATTGTGCCATGAAATTGGTTACAGTCCCTGCAATGTGTCCCTGTTCCCAGCCCGGCCTCACCCTGCCCATCACATCTCTGCTTTAGGGCAAATGTCCTTTTGATCTCTTATAGTTGGTTGTGGTAAAGAGCACGTTCTTCAGTAAGAGGGCCGGTCTATTTGTCTGAAGCGCCCTAGTGTGGCACTGTAGGATAAGCCGTGGACCACAGGGTCGGTTTGAACCACAAGGTTGGCTGTTCAAACTCATAAACCGCTTCTTGGAAATCCTATACAGTGGCGCTGTGAGTTGGAACAGACTTGAAGGCACACTTCACAACAACAGTTACTTGGCTGAAGGGTGGCCCTTCCTAGTTGGAAGGTTGTTGTCTTACCAGTAAGTCTGACTCTTTTATATGAACTTGAAATTAATTGTTAACATTTTTCCACTCTAACTAGAACCCTCTGTTGTGTTCCTGGTCAGATCCAGTGGTGATGGATGGTAGCTTGGGTACCATCTAGTTTTTCTGGTCTTGGGTTGTATATATGGATATACATGCAACACTTTAATACCCACAACCATACCTGTAGATGGAGTCCTGAATCGCAAGGTCAGCGGTTCAAGCTAACCAGTTGCGCCTTGGAAACCCTATACAGGGTCGCTATGGGTTGGAATTGACTCAGTGGCATGTAACAACAATAATACCTGTAGATGCACATAGGTGTTACTGCCATATGACCTCCCATACCTATTTAGTGTACACATCTACCTTGTACCCATCCATAAATTAATGTTTGTTACTGTTCTTGCAGTAATGTAATATAGAATTTACCAAGTTTGTTGTTAGTGTTATCGAGTTGGTCCTGGCTCATAGCAGCCCTGTGTAGGGCTTCCAAGGAGTGGCTGATGGGTTTGAACTACTGAGCTGTGGTTAGCTGTCCATTGTGTATCCTACAGTGCCACACCAAGACTCTAATTTTTACCATTGTTGTTTATTGTATACGTCTCATTGTTTTCCTTCACTTTGGCCATGTGCTGACTTCTCCCATATTGGGTATTGCCTTTCCCGTCACCCAAACTGCTAACCACGAGGTCAGTGGTTCAAACCCACCAGCTATTCTTCAGAAACCCTATACAGGGTCACTATGAGTCTGAACCGGCTCAATAACACTTAACTATCTAGTTAGTGATTCTTCTCCCTCTCTCTCATATCCTGGTAACCATCAAAAAATGTTTGTGTGTATAGATCTATTCCTGTTTGGGTGTTTTGTTTTTCCTTAAAGTAATGGCTTTATACAATATTTGTCCTTTTGTGATTGATTGATTTCTTTCCTCAGCATATGTTCTCCAGATTCATCTTTGTTGTGAGATATTGTGTATCTTTATTGTAATGTATCACGGCTTAGTGTTCTTTGTACGTATATTCCACAATTTGTTTATCTCCATTCTTCTGCTGATGGATGCTTTGGATATTTCTGTTTGTTACTGTATCGCTGTAATGTTCAAAGGTATGCATGTGTCTGTTCCTGCCCCAGCTTTTATTTCTCCAGGGTATGCGTACTTCGGAGTGGTATTGCTAGCTGTTTGCATGCTATTTCTAGCTTTTTTTTTTTAAGGTTTTTATTGTGAATTGAGTGAAAGTTTACAGGGCATATCATCAGTTCTACATTCAACAAATCATATACCTTGTTTCATTACACTGATTATATTGATTGATGTACCATCAGTTAACATTATTTCTCTCTATCCACTTTAGTTTTTTTTTAAAACAAACAACAACAAAAACCCACTCAGGCTTATATAATAATTTACATCTCCAAAGGGCACATTCTGCAAGTCTGCTCCTGGCCACCACCTCTTAGTCCTTCTCTTCTTAGTCCATGAATCTAGAGTCCTCAGCCACTCCCCCTCTCCATGCCCCCATCTCTGCCTCCATCTCTGGCGCTGCTGCTTCTCTGGATAAGGTCCGGCATTCTGCTTGTGCGCTTCTCTCTTGATGGTCCTAGGGTCCTCTGTTTCTGGACTGTACAATTAACCACTTCCTTTTTTTGTTACAAAACTTCTACCTTTATATTTCTAGCTTTTTAAGGAAGCACCATACTGTTTACCATAGTGATGGTACCACTTTAGAGTCCCACCAGCAGCATCTGGAGTTCTATTCTCCCCACATCCTCACCAGCATTTGTTGTGTTTCATCAATGCTGTAATTGCTAGAGTGAGATGGCATCATATGGTAGTTTTGACTTGCATCTCTGGTGGCTAAGCACTGGACTACTAACCACAAGGTCAGCGCTTCAAACCCATCAGCTGCTCCTTGGAAACCCTTTACACCAGCCGCTCCTTGGAAACCCTTTACAGGGTCGCTCTGAGTTGGAACTAACTCTATGACACTTAAAATAATAACAGGTTCTCCTTTTACTCTTTTGATGAAGTGTTTTGGTAGATGTATTTAAATTTTTAGGAGGGCTCAGTTATCTGTTTCTTCTATTTGTGTATTACTACCTTTGATATAACCTATTTATACCATAAGTTAGGGCCTCCAGATTTGTCCCTATATTTTCTTCCATAAACTTTATATAGTTTTAGGTTTAACATGTCATGGAGATCTTTGATCCATCTTGAGTTAGTTTATGAGCATGGTATGAGCTATGGATCTTGTTTCATTTACCTGCAGATGAATGCCCAGTTTTGACAGCGCTGTTTGTTAAAGAGACTCTCCCATTTAATGGATTTGAGAGCTGCTTGTTGAAGATTCACTGCCAATAGCTGGATGGATTTAGTTCTGGATTCTTAATTTAGTCCCATTGGTTCTAATTATTTTTAATACTTGAGGCATTACATAGCCAATCAAGTCTTTTCATTGTAGGCTTTAGACAAATTCTTGGACTGTGCTAGAAGACTGGAGTATATAGATTCAATGCTGAGAAAGTTCATTGCCCTAGAATTAATTTGCCAATTTTGGAGTCAGCCTCCAGAAGTATGAAAGTTAAATTATTTGGGTGTTTACAGTATCTACACAATTCCAGCTTAGATTGCCTGACCAGAGAATATGAATTTAACTTTTACCTAAAGTAAAGGAGCACCGTGACTGTAGAATAAAAGCACTGGATGGCAAACCCCAAGGTTGGTGGTTTGAGCCAACCAGATGCTTTGAGGAAGACAGATGAGGCTTTCTGCTCCTGGAAAGATTAACCTCCTCAGAAATTCTATAGCGCGTCTCTGAGTCAGAACCGGTTCGACTACACTTAACACCACCACTAAGGTCAGGGTCCTTCAGGGACCTGGTAAATGTCCACTGGGAACCTTGTTTTCCTTGCCCCAGAGGAAGCTAAGACTGAAATTAAAGTTGGCAAAAGTGATAAGCACTTATCCTAATTCATAGACTGCATCTGCCTCTGCTCACCTAGCAGTGTTCATTGTTTTGCTTGTTGAAATACTGGGGAAAACAAACTTCTGGAACTCTAATGTGGACTGGTGTCACCAGGGAACAACTTCAGACAGCACATTGGGTTTTCTGCATCCCTATATCAAGAATTGGGCAGTTGCCCCCCAAAAGTGGGGAGGGTTTCCCATAATTTCATTCCTACAACTTGGGAAGAGGGATGCTATACTGAGAACATCTGATTTGGCCTGCAGCTTCGTTTCCATGCAATCCTTTTTTATTATAAAGGGTTTTATTAAGAGACCCTTTGCAAAGTACATTTTTAGTAAAAGTAAAGGCTAAAATAATTAGGCTTTAAAAATACATATCATTCTTATTCTAAGAAGTCCCAATAGAATAGTGGTTAATAAGAATCCAGTTGCTAACCAAAGGTATGAGATTTGAACCCACTCAGCAGCACCACAGGAGAAAAGGCCTGGTGATCTGCTCCTGTCAAGATTTCTTAAGGCAATTCTCCTCTACTACAGGGTCACTGTGAGTCAGAGTCAGCAGCACACAACAGTTGTTACTACAGATTCAGTTCTCATCAGCGGGTCTATTAGCACAAACCCAACACTCACTGGTACTGGCTTACTTTTTCCCCTCCTTGAAATTTCTCATTTCAAAACGTTTATAGATAATGAGAGCTGGGGGTGTTTGTAAAAATGGTTTTGGGTTACCTAGTTGTGTTGGTTGCTGTTGCTTACTATACGAGGGGGCTTTTAAAAGTTTGTGGGATAATGGAGTTTTT